GCAGCTCTGAGGTCAGTGTCTCATAGGTCTGGCAACTTCTATCCCTCCACAGGTGCTTGAGGATTGAGAAACCATCTGCGGGTGGTCAAAACACAGGTTGGGCATCCCTAATCCAAGAATCTGAGATCCCAAATGCTCCAAAATCTGAAGCCTTTTGAGTGCTAATCTGACACCAAGGGTGGAACATTCCACACGGTGAAGCTTGGTTTCTTGAGCAAAAATTATTATAAAGACTAGAAATTACCTGCAGACTATGTGTAGAATGAATTTCCAGGAAAACACGCTGCATCTGAAACCCTTCTGGCCCAAGCACTTTGTATCGGGGATACTCAAGCTGTACTGATTCCGACGGCTGCCAGCACAGGGTTCTGCACACTGGGAACCCTAAAACATCAGGTTCTTTCTCGCATGGTTTGGAAGCCAGAGGTCCTAAATCAAGGTGTCAGCTGAGCTGTGCTCCTCCCTCTCCTCCTCCTGCTCCTGGGCTCCGGGCCCCCTTAGCCGGTGGGAGCAGAACTGCAGCCTCTGCTCTGTCTCCACATGGCTTTCTCCTTCGCAGCCTTCTCTTTCTCATAAGGATGCTGCCTTTTGGAGCCCACCGGGATCATGCGGGATGAGCTCCTTGTTAACTTGATTACATCTGTAAAGACCCTTTTTCCAAACAGAGTCACATTCCCAGATCCCAAATGGACAAATCCTGTGCAGGGTAGAGCGAGGGTGAGAGGAATCACCACCATTCCACTGGCTTCCGTCATTGTGGTCCACCTCTCCCCAGCTGAGAGCTGCTTGGAAACAGAATTTGTGTGTCTTCGTTCATTCACTGGCTCCACAAATACTGATGGGATACCTACTGTGTGTCCTAGGCACTCTCTGGGGCTCTGGGGGTGTTTGTGTCCTTCCCCAAGGAGCCCTCATTACACTGCATATGGTGCTGCAAACGAAGTGAGCAGTGTCCTGAGATTCAGGAGGCCGGAAGGACCTGGCTGGCCACTGCCTCAACTCCCCTCATGAGATTGAAGTCCCTGGCATCAGAGATGGACTCCTCATTGGGTGACCTGACGCAGACGCAGGGAAATCTGGCCCAGGTGGGAGCATCCGAGGCTCCCTTCGTGGCTGTGCGGGCAGGTTGCTTATGCTCCCTGTGCCTCAGTTTCCCCTTGAATAAAATGGGTTGGTGGCAGCAGAACCTCCGAATCGCCTGAGGCTTTGGGTGGTCTCAGAAGGGGCCAATAGAGCCAGTACCTGCCTTCCTGGAACAGTGTTCCAAGGAGACATTAGTGCTCACCTGGCACCAAGAAATTGCTGTTAATAACTTGAGGGATATTTATTTGTAAGAACAGCAAAGTTAGGAAATTCTGAAATGACTCAGGCTTTCTTATTCTTCCAGTACAGCTTACCATTGGGTTTCCTGGGATTTAGGTTGGGGCACAGGGCATCCAGGCCTCTTCAGGCTTTGTGGCTTCAAAGGTTGTGGTAGAAGTGGTGGAAGGCACCAAGAATGTTGGCCGTGATCTTGGACAGCAGCTGAGCTGGGGGGGCTTCAGCCCTCTGCGCAGGGACTGCGTTGGCCAGGAGGCTCCTGGGCTCCCACGCCTCATTGCCTTGGCTCCAGCCTCTGCCCTAGGGGGATCCTCTAGGGGGCAGCAGTGTTCCACCAGACTCCGCGGGAGTCTCCTCCTGTCTTCCCAGAGGCAGAGCCTTCAAGTTGGACCTGGAGGGAATCTTCACTGGCTTGGCTGTGGCCAGGCCAATCTTTCACGCTCAGGTGCTTGGGGACAACTAAGCCCATTAGGAAGGTGACTCTGGTGTCACAGCAGCACATGAACATTTCTTAGAAAGCTTCACAGCTGTACCCCCTAGGGGATGCTTCGGAGTTCCAGGTGACAAAGAGGGCATCTCCCTCCGGTCTGAACATGGAAGGAAGTTCGGTTTCAGAGGCTCATAATTTTACATGGAGGAAACGTGCATTTCCACACTGGTGTTCTTGACCAGATTCGGGTGTTTAGATTCCCAAAACAAATCTCCTTGCCCTTGACCTGTTCATCCCACCTCTTCCTCCTCGTTCTAATTTGGCCAGCGCCTCATGTTCTGGGTAGGCACTGGGACCCCTGAAGTTCTAGGAGTCATGGGCAGCATCTCCCGTGGTCCAGGTTGCCTGCTGGGGAAGGGCAGCGGTGACCAGCACATCTACTTGGGTGCAAGTCCTAACTGTGCCACTTCCCAGCTGCGTGGCCGTGTGCAAGTGCCGTGTCATAAACATGCCAGCACGTATACCCTCCTGCCCTCTGCCCCTCTGCCCCTCCAGCCCAACCCCTCCTTCCAGACTTGCTACTTCCTTCCCATGACACCTGTCACTGGGCTCTGCATCTTTCATGGCCACCATTTATCCAGCCTTCCCCCCACTGTGCCCAAAACACCCTGTTTTAGACACATGGTGTCAGTTAGTATTTGTGGAGTGCATGAATGAATGAATTAGAGCTCGCTTTACAGTCCTCTGGGCCTCAGTTTCCCCAGCTGTGGCGTGGGGATGATGGTATCAGAAGTCTCATGGGTGGCTTTGGATGGTTGCGATGAGCCAACCTGGGCCAGGCCATTCAGCCCAGACACTGCAGCCCAGCTGCAGATGTGGATTCAGTTTCTGGGTCAGATTTCAAGGTTTTCCCTGGCTTTCCACTGTGGCCAGTCCTCTGTGCAGCCCAAGGCAGTGGGGCCCCCTAGCCAACCGTCAATACAGAGTCCAGCACCCCGATGTTAAGGCCTCCTGGACACCGGATGGAGGAGGTGAGGCTGGAAGGAAGTCTGAGGTGCCGGGAAGCCAGTCACTGCCCGTTCACGTGGCAGCATTGAGCCCTGCAGTCTGAGCTGCCCCTTGAGAAGCCGCTGGTGACTGTGAGCTGCCATGGGGAGAGCTGGTCACAGTGAGCGACAGGCCCCCATGTTGGCCAGGTTTGAGGGCTCCTGAGGCACGTGGCTGTGTCTTGGCCTCTCACTGTTCGGTGGCCTTGGGCAGGTGACTTCACACTCCCAAGACGCAGTTTCCTATAAAAGGAAAGTGATGCTGCCCTTGCCCTCCCGGAGCAATAATAAGACTGTCACCGGCACAGTAAGGGGGAGAGTTGTCACTGTACTGAGTTCAGCATTTCAGAGTGCGGTGTCCCCAACATTAGTCTGGGGTCCCACTCCCAGTGGCCCCTTAGGAAACATTACCACCAAGGGTCCCTCTGAGATGGCCACCGTGGCCTTCAGCATCTCAGAGGCCCTGAGAAGTGGGACCGCAAAGTGCGAAGCTTTTCTCCTTCAACTTGGTATTGAGCAGCACACCTGCGTCCCTCAGTACTCCCGCATAGCGCCTGCTGACAGAGCCCAGGGCAGGCGTTGGGAGCAAGGCCCGAGCTAATCAGATTCTAGTCCTGTGACAAATGGAGACCCTGGAACCAAGGAGATGGGAGCAGGAGGAAGGCAGGCGCTGAAATCACGAAGAACCAGATTTGCAGCCTGGGTCTGCCCCCTTCCCCCAGGCCCTGGGGAAGCCACGTGCCCTCTCAGTCTCCTGCCCAGGGAGGTAGACAATCAGGTGCTCACCTTAAGGGGGACTTTGGTCAGCCCAGTGCAGTGGCGCCTGCCAGATAGAGCAGGTGTCAGTATTTGTGCTGGCTTCGACCACTTAGTGGCTGACGACAGCTCTCAGATGTGGCGTCTCACCTTTCTGGAGATCAGAGTCTCAAAGTTAAGGCTGCTCTCGTCTGGGTGTCCAGGGGAAGGTCCCTTCCCTGCCTTTCCCAGCTTCCAGATGTGCTGCCTCCTTGGATGACCTCTCTGACCTCTGGGCCTCCCACCACAGCTCCTCCTCTGACTTGGGCCCCCGGCCTCCCTCCTACAGGGACTCCTTGTGACAACACTGGGCCCTGGATAATCCAGGACACTCCCCATCTCCAAGCTGTTAAGTTAATCACAGCTGCAGGATCCCTTTTGCCATGTAAGGTGTCAGTGGCAGGTTCCGGGAATCGGGGTGTGGACATCTTTGGAGACCGCCCTTCAGCTCCACCACACTGCTCCTGCATCGCCCGCTCTCCTGGCTCCTGCGCCTCCTGCTGCAGTGGGTTTTCTCTCATTTGTCCTGACCTTGATACCAAAGGAGTGGTTGAGCTCTAACCTGGGGCTCTGGTTGGGTACATTGCAGGAGAAAGCTTGGATCTCCCCAGATGTCGTCTGTCAGCCCAGACCATGCAGGATATAGCTGGGCAGAACAGGCCTTGCCCTCATGGAGCTGACCTTTTCCTGGGGATGAGAGTGGTTGGCAGAGAAATCATGTAATAGGCACACAGCCAACACAGACCTGATGAACCACACAGGTAACGGGGGACAAGCACTCCAGGCACCGGAAATGGGAAGTGCAAAGGCCCTGGGTCAGGAATATGTTTAGCTGCTCAAGAAACAGCAAGACTGCAGCATGGCTGGAGCAAGGTAGCCAGCGCCAATGGGATCTGAGACAGAGTCATGGGAGGAGTCAGGGCCCTTGGACGTTTTTAGGAAAAGCTTCATGAGCTGGCTCCAGTTTAAAAGGATCTTCTGGCTTCTTTGTAGGGAGCAGATCTAGAGGGGCCAATGGAGGAGGTGACACAAGCTCTCCACCAGGCTTCCCCGGCAGCCAGACTTGAACCCAGGCCTCATGGGTGCCTCATGCCACCCATGCTCCCAGCTACACAACACGGGCAGCTAAAAACATATGCAGGCCTCTGCTCCTTGGAAGAAAGATATACCAGGGAGAAGGAAGAACAGGAAGGAAGATGGAGCCCCCGTCCATACAAAGGGGAAGAGACAGGAGGTTTCAGGGAGGGCTGGACAGGGGCCAAGTCACCCCATTCCTCTCAGGATTCTGGAGGGGCCCCCGGTATACCTGTGGGCCCCTGGCTCACCCCTCCCCTTGATCTCCACCCTCCCTCTGTCCTGGCTCCCAGCCATTGGCTTCTTCAGTGCTGGGTGCCCTCTTAGTAAACCGGAAATAAAGTAGGAAAAGCTGTGGGTAGATCCCAGGTCTGTCCCCTGCCCCAAGCCTGGCTCACCCCTCCCCTTGCAGCCAAGGCTCCAAAGAGCTGTTCCGGCATCCTGTTCTCTGCTTCCTCCCTGCCTGCTGCCCCCCAGCCCCTGCCCTGTCACCATCACCATCCTGGGGCCTCCGCCCCACCCCCACGCACTATCAAAACGAAGGTGGAGCCGACGGACGGAATCCTCTTTCCTCCCCCTTCAGGTCACACGAGCATCCTGCACCGTGCAGTACCCTCTGCTTCTTGGGACTGTCCCCTTGCTCCTGGCATTCAGGACACACATGCTGCCTGCCTCCCGCTGCTGCAGGTAGGCATCAGCTTGGGGCCACAGTCACTACAAAGCCCCGCGGAAAGGGCTGCCTGAGGCCCCTGATTTTTCATGGCCTGTTGGCCACGAGCCAGCCTGGGGTCCCCCCCTGCTCAGGTTTAGGCTGTCCTGTTCTCTCCCAGTGGTCAGCCCCGTGTCCTGACCAGGGCTGGGCCCACGGTAGGACTTCAGTTGATCTCTAGGACACGAACAACTAAGATGTGACTGGCGGTGGGTGGGAGGGGCAGGACGGTGGTGTGGCCCATGGTGGTTGGAGAGTATTTCACCGCTGACACTGTCGAAAATTACGAGCACGGGCTGATAACAAAAAACAAAGGAATTGTTTATTGCTTCAGAATTCTGTACAGATAATGCTACCCCAGACTCTGGGACCAGACTGCCAGGCGTGGGCCATTTCCCACAGCTCACCCTGGGGTGTCACAGGGAGGCGGCTGAAGGGTGCTTCCTAAAAATGCACTCGGGTTTTACAGGGAGTGAATAAAGCACCTGTTTGGGTTCAGGCAGCGACAAAGACATCTAGCCGGGTCTGTTTTGAGAGTGCAGGAGCTCAGGAAACGGCTCCTCTGAAATCTGGAGCTGTGATGTGAAGGAAAGACACTTTCGGAAAGAAGAAAGGGAGGGTAAAGGCCTGTGTGCTGAGCTGGGTAAAATGAAAAAGGAAGAGAAGTAATTGCATGCTTGGCTTGGAAGAACACGGGGACTCTGGGGCGGGGGGGCCTAAGCTGGAAGCAGGACAGAAAGCAGAGCTGCTGGAGGAGCACTGAGGCGATCCGGGCCGGCTGCTTCCGTTTTACTCCTGAACCAGGAAGCAAGGCCATTAGGAGAGCACGTGGCCAAGGAGTCACCTGGACGAATGGAGCGCTGGCCCAGGTGGAGAAAGGGACTCAGGTTTCCTGGTGCGACAGGGGCCCGGTCTCTCTGTTCATAGCTGCCGGGCACTAATTGCTCCCTGCTGTCTGTCTGGTTGCAGGGAGAGGGAAGGGAGACCAGGTGAGGTCTATGAAACACTGCCACGGGCAGAAGCAGGTGGAGACAGCGGCTCAGGGAAGGGCTCGGAGGGAAAAGGTGAGGGTCAGAGGACCATAGGCCCCAAGTGCCTGTGGGTGACTGGTTCTGATGATGCTAGAGGGAGCAGACTGAGGAAGAATCGGATGTGTGGAGAAGACGGCAGTGCCACAGTGAGGAGCCATCTCGGGCCCCAGGCCCACAGTCCCCAAAGCGTTCAGGACCCGCAGACCCACATGGCCCAGGACTTTGTTAGAAACAACAGCTCTCGCTGGCCCAGGCCTCCACTGAGGGGGGGCCCAGCACCCCGAGGACTACCAAACCCCCAGGTGTCTTGGCCTGCACTGAGGTTGGAGGCTCTGGCCTACCATGTTCTGGCTGAAGTCTGAGGCCAGGAGTCACTGGAAAAGAGGGGGTTCAAAGACGATTAGTCTGGATGTGGATGAATGGGGAATTTGCCAAAAATGGAGGCAGAAGTAGAGGAGAAAAACGTGCCCTCACTGGCAGCTAAATCACCAAGATATGAGCACAGAGAGGAGACCAATTTGGAAGCAGCAAAATGGAGCAAGAAGACACCTATTCCTTGGGACCCAGTGGATCAGGGCCACAGGAGGGAGGGAACCACCTCAGGGCGGGATACGGGTCCCCAGAGATGCCTGTCTTAATCCCCAGAACCTGTGTCTATGTCTCCTTTTTAAGCAGAAGAGGATTTTCCGTGTAGCTACTGACCATGGACAAGACTAGATGAGGACCAGGTTGTGTGTGATGAGAGCTCGGGGCTGTGCCGTAAATGGAAGGAGGCACCATGAGTATGCGCCAGAGCGAGGGTTTTGGAGCTGAGCCCTGTGGGCAGCTGCTTTTTCCAGAGAAGCTGGAAAAGGCAGGACGGGGTTTCTCTCCCGAGCCCCCAGAAGGACCCTAGCCTGTCAGCACCTCTATTTTTAGCCCTGGGCCCCTCATTTTGGATGTCCAACCTCCAGAACGGTAAGAGCATAAATTGGCGTTGCTTTGAGCTGCTGAGTTGAGACTGGCTGTCACAGAGGTCGGCTAGAGAAGGGACCTCAGGAGCCTGTGGGTGTCACTTAGAACAAAAACGGCCAGGCCCTCAGAGGGAAGGATGGGAGGTTTGGGGGTCTTATTTGCAATAGTTCACGAGAGGCAGAGGACAATACAACATTTCAGGAGGGGAAGCGGGCAGAAAGTGGGGTTCCTGAGCCTCACAGGGATTGGGGGGGGAGAAGGTAACTTGAGGGTCGATGGAATGGGGGAAACGCTAAGGAAATGAGGCCTGAGGGTAAGACTTGGAAGATGGCACTGCTTTCTGCCTCTCAGAGGAGGCCCCGAGCTACTCTGAGCTGTGTTGGCCTCTCTGTGGGGGCCAGGGCAGGTGTGTGGCAGGGAAGGTTTCAGGCTGACCCCCTGCCCTCGTGTCTCGGGACCCTGAGCCCAGGCCCGGACTTGAGGTCCTTATGGGAGACCGATCGGAGCTCAGAGGCTGCCCTGGCTTGTTCGCACCACTTAAGATTAAAGGAGAAGGTGGTCGCTGGCAGCACGGCCCCAGGTGTACCTGGGGAGGCCCAGATGGCACGTGCTGAGCCAGCCCCTTAGCACCATCTAATGCAGCGCACAGCCGGCTCAGGTGGCTCCTGGCTGGCGGCAACAGGCCCATCACCTGCCTTGTCAAACATGCTCTCCAGGGAAGTCGAGTTTCACGTTGGCTCATAAAAGCCAGCTGGCCGGCATCTTCTCTTACTTGTCCCTAAGGAGGCACTGAGCACAGCGCGAGCACTTTACAGGCTGGAGGGCCACAGGTGACTCAGGCAGCCAGACAACCGCCCGAAGCTCTGGGTCCCTGGGGAGCCACGGTCTTTATTGCTCTCTGCAGCGAAGGGAGCTGGCTTCCTCTGGAAGACAGGCTGGAACGCACTGCAGTCTAATCAGGAATAAATGCACTGAGCCATTGGGGAGGGAAGGAAAGTCTCGGAGTGCATTGTTTGGTTTTGAAAATATGTTAAATATTAGGAAGCAATTAGTTTTCCATACACTCCAGATAAGTCCATTGTCCTCAGTGCCACTCGAGGACAAAAGCTAGGCAGGTCTGTTTGTTCGCACCCAGTTCCCGAGGGCCTAGTGTGCGACTCGCTGTGCAGTCCGAACACTGAGCAAAGCCATGCCAGCCCTCCTTCCTGCTGGGACTCTCAGATGGGAAGAGCGGAGGGCGCTGGAACAGGAGCAGTTTCTACAGTGCTCCTGCTGTGTGTTCACCCCACAGCACCCCTGGGCTCAGGGTGGGCTCTGAGGACGGCTGTTTGCTTGGAGACCTGGAGAGGGAGGAACAGCTCTATGGTCAGAGCCCTTGGGGAACTAGGAAAAGCAGAGTGGTGGGTGGGAGATGGGGTGGCCCGCGCCCTGGCCAGCAGAGAAGCTGTGCAGCCTCAGCAAGTCTGGGAGGTGACAGAGGCGCCTTTGAGCACAGACTGGCAGAGAGGAGTGTGGACCAGCGACAGGAAGCAAGGAGGGGTTGTGAGGGGTTTCAGAGATGGATCCGGAGGACCTGCTGCCCTATGGGAAATGGGGCAGTGAGGAGCTGGGTGACGCCCAGGGTTTTGATTAAGTAACTGCTTAGATGGCATTGCCAGAGGCTGCTGGGGAAGAAGGTGGAGCTGGGAGCCAGGACATGGGGCGTGAGGTGAACTGGAAGTGCGTTGTGGTTATGCAAATGGAGGCATCACAGGGTGTCTGGAGGGAGTCTGGGAAGTCCTGTGCCGGGATTGTCCTGTGAACATTTTTCCCTCCAGCACAGCCTGGCGGCCTCAAGCAGAGGGCGCTTCCTCAGATGTCCATCTGTGTCCTCTGACACTTGGCCAGCAGGAGCTGTGGGCGACAGGTTTCGGGGAGCTGCGTCAGTCTTGTCGAGGGCTGTGGTAAGGAAAGGTTAAGAGCCAGGATGTAATCGGCACGGCCCTTGGAGAACACATGCGATTGTCAGAGATTTTGTGTCTTTCGTCCAGTGCGGTCTCGGAGGTTGAAGTTGTCAGGAAACCAGGAACTCTTGGAGAGCCAGGGCTGGGCGGGTGTGGGTGGGCCATGAGGGTCCCTCACCAAGCCCCACTTCTGGATGTCACCAAGAGGGCGCAGGAAGGGACAGTTCAGAGGAAGAAGCCCTTGTCAAAGACGGTCTGGTCCAGTCTCCTTCACGCTTGCACCACAAAATGTCATGGGGTTTATAGCAACATGTCCCCTCTACCACCACTGCTCTGGGGCTCCTCAATATGAGCGACCTCACTTCCACTTCTTAAAGGTCCTTGTGATTCTGTTCCTGCTGGTCTCCGGCATGACTGTAAAGTAGCCCTGGTTCTGCCAAGAGACCAGTTTCCTTCCAGTTCAGGAACCTGAAAAGCTGAGTAGGAGCCTGTATTTTTCCTACAAGTCTCCTTTAGGCCCCACTTGTTACAAAACCCGAGTTGTTCCTGCTGCTTCGCACTCAACTGTACCCTGTTGCTGCATGAGCAAGGGACTTTTCAGATTTGCAAACAATGGCCAAGTCACTCCAACGTGTCCCACGTCTAC